ATAATTGGATAGTTTTATTTAAAGATATATAATTTTCTTTCCGGTATTTACGCAAATTATGGATTCAGAATAATGGCTAATGAATAGAAAAATAATAGCCAAGAAGAGATTTTCTATGAAATAAATAAAATTATATATATATGTGTGTGTGTGTGTGTGTGTGCCAATATTTATACATTTACACTAATAAATGAATTATTTTTATAGTGTAAAAATGTACAGTATAACTACTTTATCTGTGTACATCTGTATATATATGTGTACTTCTTCACTCTTCTTCTTTGATTTTTCAGAAACAATTTTCTTCTCATTATTCTACTTTATCACCATGTTTCCTATCACTAAGATAATATTAAATGATATATATTTGATATTAAAAGTTTGTAAGTCGATAATATAAAACTATTCAGAAAATTATATTTCCGATCTAATTAAATAAATTTAAAATAGAAAAATACGTGAATATATATTATAACAATACTAATACACAATATATTTAATATATAGCTATATATAATAAAACACAAAATAATTTTAAAAAAGTTTTGAATTATCGAATATCTTAATTTTTATTAAAATATTTTCTAAAAAATTTAAATGAATATTATTTTACTAAAAAAGATTGAAAATTAAAAATTAATTATTTTAAAAAAAAGTTATATCTAAACTGTATTAATTTACTATATAATTATTTATTATAGTTGTTCAAAATATAATGTTAAAGATTCGCATAGTAATTATTTTTGTATCGTTTACACAAGTTTTTTTTAAATTTTTTATAAATGTTTTTTATAAACATTATAAAGCTTATTTTATATAATTCATGCTAACAATAGAAGCATAGTATATATTGGAATGGAAATTATTAATACCAAAATATATGTAATTAATAATTCAAAATATCACTGAAAAACGTATCCAATCTACTATTAATAGAAGAGTATAAATATTAAATTGGCATAGTGCGTTGATGTAAAATATAAAATATTTATGCTTATCATTTAAATATATATATATATATATATATATAGAAAGTATAAATAATAAATTCATAATGATTCCTAATTTATATTTATATATAAAGTTTTTTTTTACGAATATATATATATATATATATATATATATTAAATCTTAATTAAGAATTCTCTTGAAGATATTCAAATTCAGTATTAACTATCAGTAATAAAGTATAGTTAAATTTTTCTCGATATTATTAAAATACTTCTTACAAAATATATAAATTAATAAAGTACGTAAACGCATTGTCATTATTATCTACTACAATAACATTTTAACGTAATAAATAATAGAATGGAATCTTTTGTTTTTAGAAAAAAGGAATTATAATTGTATAATTTAAATTTAAATTTGATAAATCATCATTATTATATAAAAATATTATATCACTATAAATGTTTTTAAATTATTCATTGTGCAATCAACCAGATAATATTTACTAAAATTAAATAACTGATAAAATGCTTTAAAACAAAAAAGAAAATTAAGACGAAAAAATAAATAATCTACGAAAAGGAGAATTTCGAATGTTCTTAAGTAGTAAAAGGGTGGAAATATATGATGGAAAATAAAGGATAGAAAAACAGTAAAATAAGATTAAGTGGGCATAAACTTTGAACTGCTAAAAACAAAGAAAAATAAGAAGATAGTAGAACATGTAGAAAAGTAAGAGAGAGGTTCAAAGAAAAAAAAAAGCCGACGAAAGGCCAAAGTACTTTAATAAGCACAACACAATATTAGATAGACGATACGTCATTCTTATATTGCAGGGCACAACTTGCTTTGATGGCTTACACAAAATTTACCAATACCGTTGAACTTCACATAGATTGGTGATTTATAAATAAAGATTATATAAATACCTTGATGTAAAAGATTTTAAAATACTATTCAAAATATATACAAACTAATATAAAAAGTTTTGAAAACATTTTAATGTATACATTTTTGTTCTTCTCAAGAATATATATATATATATATATATATATATAGAGATAGATACTAGATATTTATAACATTATATTCACTTAGTAGCTAAAAAGGCTTAAAATATTTACTATTATTTTTATTTACATTATTTAAATAATATAGCTAAACTCAAAATAATGTAAACTCTATAATGATAATTAACTTTGATTATCCTGTAAATTCTTATAAACATGTCATTAAGGTTAACTTTTTTCTTTGAATATTTGTAAAAAAGGCTGCAAATAAGCTAGAATTTATTTCGATAAATAATGAGCAATTTCACTTTAAGACTATAGAAAGTATGATATTTTTTACTGCATTAAGCATTGACGTAAGAAGTATCATCAATTAATAAATACATCAATTTTTTTAATCAAATTGTAAGATTCTTAAGATAAGAATTAGATTAACTGTATAAATATAATTATTGTTATTTTTTATTTAATAAATATGAAATATACCTATATGTATATTATTGTATAATGGTAAAATGTATAACTACTTTCATACATAAATTATATAGAAAAAATTATACAATATAAATATCTTAATATAGTTTATAAATGTTTATTAAAACAACTAAATTCTTTCAAATTAGTTGCTCATTAATGAAATTTGTTGACAATTAATTTGAAAATTCTTCAAATAATATCTAAAAAACTTACGTAATACAAGTTCAAGTCCAATTTTATATTTATTCAAATAATGGTTATAGTATTTATAGTATTTTATAGTACTTCATACTATAAAAATTATGAAAATATCCTTAACTTTTTTGCAGTATTATATAAATATAATTAAAATTAAATTAAAAATAATTGCAATACATGATATATTATTTAAGAAAGATTAATTATTTACGTGTAAATTGTTTATTTCTGAAAACATTATAGGAATAATTATAATACTATTGGCGATTTTGTGTGAGTACTTACATTGTATAAACATTTAATTATCTTATAGACATTTTTTAATTTATCAGTATCCAAAATATTTATTTATTTAACAAATACATATTTGTATATAATTAAAAATTAAAAATCATTAACCACAAATAGCTACAAAACTATTCGTACTTAAATATATATATATATATATATATACATATATAAGTTAAATTATTTTAGTTATATTATTTCAGTTGGTTTCTAAAACGACATAAATAATGACATTTAATAGCATTATTTATACAGAATAATCTTAAAGATTAATCACTTTAATAATAAAGACAGAACTTTACTTATGAAAATATTAGAAATTATAGTTATGAACCATACATTTTGAGATTCAATGTTTAAAAATGTTCCATTGTTGAAAAAATTTGTTTGAAAAAATCATTATCTAAATAGATCATATTTCTAAATAGAATACAATTAGTTTAAAGCACGACGCGAATAGCCAGAAATAAAAAAAAAACCATAAATCCCTCCGAAATAGTTAATCCACAATTTACATTAATAAATTCACATATATTATTAAACGATAAATAAAATAGTATGTTATCTTTGATCGCTATTAATTTTATTCTAGAATAATGAATATTAAGATTTTACGTAAAAACGAATTTATGTAAGTATGCATCTTTTTGTACAATTCACTTAATCGATTATTTCTACCTAAATCATTGTAGTAGTATCACTGTAAAGTTTGGATAAGCATATATTATTTTATTTTTCGATGCATCATATCTATAAGCACGTCGAAAGCAGACAAGATATGTTGAAAATATATAGAAATTAGCAAGGATAATTCAGGATCGATAAACTATATCAAAAACAAACATTTTTTATCCTTCTATTTATTGAAATATAATAAAATTATAAAATAATGTATATAATATGTCACTAAATCCATCAATGCGGAAAATATGATTAAATTCACTTCATTTATAATTATGTACAAATTATTAATAATACTATTTTAAATAATGAAATAAAACTACAAATTATTACATAATGACATTAAATGTTGAAATGTCGCAACAATCATTCGACTTTAGTATTTTAATATTTATATTATTGCATAGCATTATAGCACTTGAGATCACAATATTTACCCTTTTCTCAAACAGTAGAAAATAGATTTGGTATTTTAAAAAATTTAAATATTGATCGATAAAAATATACAACGGGATCATCAATAATCTACTTACGTATGTAAACAAAACAAAACTATACAAAATAAAGAGTACCAAATATGTCCTCTTCATCTTCTATGATGATTTTAAATTATCGAGCGTATTTTTTAAATTAAACTCAATATTATGCAATACATTTCTAAGTATAAAAATTTGATAAGATAGTTTTGGTAGTTGAATAGTGCTTTGATTATTAAATAATATTCTTAATAAAAAAAATACTATATTAGCGATAAAACTTATTACAGATTTTGTGTGTTTACAGTCTAAGTATAAACATACAGAATTTCTTCATTAATTTATAATTAATCAATAATCAATCCATTATATTTGAAATTCAATATAACACTTAATTTTATCTTCAAAATATCATTAAATGTAAAATTTCTTGAGTATAAATTCTAGAATAAAATAAGATCATAGTACTATCATTTATACTTAAATATTGCAAAATTATGATCAGTTTTCAACCTGATTAATTGTAAACTAATTAGAATTATACACAATTTATCATTAATTGATTAACAAGTTTTTTTAAATGTTTCAGTTATGAAGTAAATAAAGATTTTTTATGCTTAAGTAATCCGTTATTCATATTTTAATAAGCCAAAATTTCATCTGATGTTACATATAACATTTATTTTATTTCATTGTAATTTGAAGCTCTTAATTCTGCTTACGTATAAATATAGATAATAAGAACCATGTGTGAAGTAGTATGCAATTGTAATTATCATAATTTATTACAAATTAATTATTAAACTGTGATTATATTTTATCTTTAACGTATTTATAGTGAATTTTAATTAAATTAATTATCTTCTTTCCTTTGATTATATTTGAAAGTCATTTTATGTATAAAAAATTAAGTTGTTTTTAAATAACCCGATTCCAATATACATATATAAAACAATTAATTTCTAATCAGTTTTAGTATTGGTAATTGAATTCTTTCTCAAACAATAAATTACTTTATTATCTACATTTTCTGAATTACGCTCTTGAAAATCAGCGGCAAGTTCTTCTTTCGTTGCTTCTGAAAGCTTTTTCCCTTTGCCAAAGAATGTATTTTCATTATAGATACGATCTTTCAGTCTATATGTACCATGCAACTGTAATAATACAAATATAAAACTTTAGCATAACATCGAATAAATATTAAAATATTAATATTTTACACATTTAGATATAGTAAATTAATATTATAGTAACATTTACATTGAATCATCATTTGTTTTTAAGTACAATTGTCTATTTATTAAAAAATTCATAGGTTTGCAATTTTATAAGAAATATTATCTAATTGGAAAAATATTATTAAAGTAATGTTTCATACTTAATATATATTTAAGATGAGATACATTTATTAATTATTTAACAGATATAATAAAAAAATAATAATTATATATATTTAAAAATTTACATATTTTATAAAATGCATAATTATTTTAATAAGCAAAAATTTTTAAAAACCTATGATTTCATTTATAAATAAATAAATTTTAAATACAATTAAATAAATATTGCGTATAATCAATAGATAGATATTATATTTATGCTTAAATATTTGTTTCATTGTATTGTTATAAACTTAAGAATTATTCGTCGTTAAATTTGGTTCTCTTTAAAATATTAAAAATACTACTGTAATAAAACTAAATTTAATCGATCGAATTATATATATGTAATAAATATTTATTTATTTTTTAATCTATTGAAAAATAATTTATATTATATTCGGGAAACTATAAATAAAATTAAGCTTTACCCATATAATAAAATCTTTGAATTTAAGAATATTTATATTAAACAAACTTTTGATTTCAAAAAATTCAAAATATATTAATATAAAACAAAAGTACCTTATCCCAATAGAACATATTAAATCCAAAGTTTACATGTGTGTACTGATGATGATTATCGTGAAAGGATGCATCGGGTTGCCAAGGCTGCCACCATTGAGCTTTAAAATTTATTCCCGAGTGATCGATTAGGCCGTGGTAGAAATTATAAATCATAATTGTACAGTAAGGAACTGAAAAATATATACTTTATTATATTTTATTGTTGTTTCTATTTATATTATTATATACTGTGTGTTTTACTATTATTTATTTTTTTAAAAATACTTCATTATAAACAAAAATTGAATATAAAAACTAAAATATTATATCGGTGATTTACCGTGTCGTCCATTTAAATTATAAAAAATTAATACTCCTAAATGTTAATCGATATTAATTATATAATCTAATTTTATTGTTCCAATTACTTCATAAAATAGATACTTTTATTGCAATACTAAAGAAAAGTAATCGTTTTACAGTAATACTCGTTAAGTAGAAGGATAAAGTAAGATTATTAAAGTTTTCAATGACATTACCCTTATAATGTTACTGGAATAAAACAAATTAAAAAAAAAAATGTCTTCGTAGGGATCTTCGAACGGAGGTAATGCGACTGTAAAATATCGAATACTTGCAGGTACAATTTGATATATTTATCGGCAGCATAAGAACCTGATATTTTATCTTCCATGACTACTTAATACATTTTCTCTCTGTGAAAAAATTCAAATTGAGGGACGAAAAACGTTTCAGCGTTCTTCAAGTCACTGATTTGAACATCTTATAATATAACATGATATAACATATAACATAATATATGATAAATGTTAATCTAAGGTTTTTACACAATAAAAAACATTTGTTGTAAAAAAAAAAATAATTTTTAATTATATACAAATTCAAAATTGATGCGATGTTTTATAGTTTTATGAAAATTGAAAAAATTTAATTGCAAACCGTCAGAATAATAATATCTTGACAATAAATAGTCATCGAAAAACTTAAATTATGTTATTTATAAATATTTATTTTTAATCTATTATATTATATGATTAACAACAATGGCAGTTGAATACGCATGCGTATGCGTCTACAAACGGGAGGTTATACCTGTATGTTAGTGCATGAATGAATATGTGTGTGAATATGAAATTGTACGTAATTTATAAAATAATTCTTCTTAATACTTAATTTATATAATTACACACATCTTAATTATACTGAATTAATTAATAAAACTGAACTTGATTTTGAAGATTGATTATAGTCTGTGAAAAAGATTAGTCACTAAATTAATACAATTTCGAGATTAAACGTATTTGTAGCATAAAATTAAACTAATAATTTTTTAATTTAATTTACATGTAATTAAGGGACATATTTTTTTCCTTACAAAAGTTCGATTAGTAGTAAGCTTATAAATAATAATATACTCATTATATTATGAGTTATCATTGTGTAAATATATAGGACCTAATGCAGAATTTAAAATTATTAATATTTATTTCATCTCAGTATTAAACTTATTTGAAATATTTACATCATATATGAACGATTTGAAACATAAAATAATTTTAAATAAGCACAACAATGAGGCTGTATGTGTACGAAAGTTTTGAAAAACGAACAAAAAATATTATAATGATACAAAATACATGAAAGAAATTAATTTTTTTTTTATATTTACAGAATAATAAATAATTATGATAATAATCAAAATATATTTCTTCTGTATACTTAGTTCAAATTCTAATTAATAAGTATTCTTATTTAATATTTTATTTAAGATTTTTATCAGACGATTTATATACTTATTTAAGATTATCATATAATATTCAATATTTAAAAATTTTAACTCGAAACATGAGTAAACTATTTGTTTCTTAAAGTACATAAAGAAAAACACATTTATCGAAACAGTTATACAAACTCATCTAATAATAATAAAAATTATTCATTTTTATTATTTATCAAAACAATAACAAATTGTAGATTGTTTATATAGTTATTTGAATAAGACTAGTGTTATGTTATAACCAGTATTAAGTTACATTTAACAGTCAAAGTCACAAAAATAATTCAACGCAATTTTTCAAATTTTTCGAGGTTTAAAATATTTAAATATCAACAATTCTTAAAATAATTTTATAATTACATTTAATTAATATTAAGTTATAAAAATTTGATTATATATAGTTCATAAATTATGAAAAATTTAACATAATATATGTGCATTAATACTACATTTTAAAATATAATTATAGTTTTGAGTTTTATAAAAAATAATATTCCTTGGTCAATTATCTCTTACTATGCATATAAATTTAAAGAATTCACTTTCAACTGTTTCATATATATTATTTTTCACGTATTATTTTTACATTATCTTCATTTGACAAATCAAAATCCTAATAATAAATTTTTACGAGTCTTTAATTGTATTTTACGTAAAATTACATTATAGCCAATTATATCTCAAATATAGTATTTAAACTTGAGATTTGATAGTATTTAAAATTTCAATTTGATGTGTACTCACTCAAATGCGAAGGCATGATGAAGAGCGGCACGAGATAACACAGCTGCATGTGCATAATCTCAATGGGATGAATGGCAGTCACAGACCATGCAGTTGGCTGCTTATATGTGTGGTGCAGTTTGTGGAACATCTTGTATAATGTCGGTCTGTGATAAAGTCGATGAAACCAATAAGTCTCGTAATCCTATAATAATAATAATAATAATAATAATAATAATAATAATAATAAAAAGCAACACTTTTATAAATTATAAAAATTCGTGGTTATTGTAACGTATGTTCGCGTTAAATATAATGTTGCAATTGAAAACTCCTTTAATACATTTGGAGCATTAATTTTTTAAGCAACAAGTTTTTTTTTAAATAAATAGTGCGGAGAAGTTAAATAAATAAACAATTAAATATAATAATTCATTGCGCGTATAAATAGTATTGTTGAAAATGTAATGTCCGTATTCAAGCGCGCAAAATTCATGAGCATTTCAATCTGAAACATGGAAATTCGCCAAAAGCTATCGACTTTTGTATATTTGCTGCAGGCGTTGTTCACGCAATGATATTTTCACGCTTGTTCTAGTTAGCAAAGTACAAATAACATGTGTAAACTTCCGACGCATCTTGATACATAATTTGAACAACATATTTCAAAGAGCTTCCTATCTGTAACATTATACAGCAAAGTATTCATTCCTAACATTTATATTTAAGATTAATACAATGACAAAATGTTTCATAATTTTTATATTTTCAACGTATATTCAATATATATATATATATATATATATATCCAATGTTTCTTAGAAGTAGCTGCATTTTAATCATCAAGAAAAGTATAAATTAAGTAAAGTATAACAAAGTAATGTAGGGTACAATATGATTCAACAATTTTCTTTATTTCATTTTATAAAAAAAAAGAAGAATATTTATATATATATATATAGATACCTGATAAAGCATATCATGTGACCTTTAATCTAATTAAATTTGATTAATCTTGCAGATTATTTATTAACAAAAAATAAACTTTATATTTCCATATTTTAAATGGAAAACATTGCCCACAAATAAAATTGTCGCAAAGAATAATTATTATATATCTTACCAATTTTCGTATATGAAGCATTTTCAAATATTTTATAAGAAACTGTATAATTTTATAAGTGACATTATAAGTTATCGAATATGTGGATCGTAAAACCGTTTCAAAATAATAATTCCCTAGTTAATCGCTAATCCACTCGGTAATAAATTTCAAATTTTTTCCATTGGGCTTTGTAGTTTATTTAATTGTAGTATTTAAATATTCTACGACTTTTCTTTCATTTGCTGTAAATTATACGTGTTTGAAACATAATGCCAAATATTCTGAATGATATAGATGTTATTATACGTGATAGCCTATACGTGATATCATTTTATAAATTATATTAATTTATCTCGTATTTAAATGATATTAAGAAATCATTTTTTAAGTATTTATAAAACATTTTGTATTGCCTTTCTAAATTTCGTCTACGATAAAAAAAACTATTGAATAAGATAAAATTGAATTGCAATTCGCATACTTAACTATTTAATTAAATATTATATAAAAATAACGTTATATTTAAAATAACGAATAAAATCAAAAAAGAAAATTGCAATTATAGTTCATTTTGAATAATGAATTTTAGAAATAATAGATAATAAATGAAAATTTTATACGTGTAATCAATTAGCAATAATTCTAATTGTTAAAAATTAATTTGGCAGTTTTTTATTAATATACATATTTTTGTTTAAAACTACAGTTTTTAATAAAATTAATAAAATGATCGTTTCTAATTTATATCATTTATATCATAGCAAACAACTAGTAAAGAAAAAATTATGGCAGAGTTCATTTTTAAATTCTAGCTTGATTCCTAAGTCGCATTAGTTATCTAAACAAAAATTTATTTATTACATAATTCAAAACAATTCCAATATTCAATATGAAAATTTTTATCCTATCCATGGTAATGCAATATAAGTATAAAGAAATAGTAAGAAATAATAAAAAATAGTCAAAATCTAAAATCTGAAAATTCACTAATCACATGTTGTTTTACCCTCGTAAATATCTTGATATCACAGTATGTTTTAGCAGATGATACGCACATATAAATATTATGCTTTATTTATGATATAATAATTTAAAGTTTATATAAAATATAATGCGAGATGGTCTCAGGAAGAGGAACGATGTCATTTCCTTCGTCGATTATTTAAAAAACTAATAACTATAACATAAATTTACGGAAAATCAATAATAAATTCAGTACTTTTATTATTCTTAGTCCCTATAAAAGTATAAAATTTATGCATTAATATAGAACAATTTTTGCACTATTTCGGTATATAAATATGTGATGTTTATTCTAATATCTACACTCCAATTTTTTCATTAAAAACTTTCTTCGTCACAAGTCATGCAATCTATGATCACCAATATTCCTTAAATACTATTTTAAATATTTATTTGTCCGATGTATAATGTGAACTATTTAATATATAACAATTTAAGGTAGATATTTATTTACACTTATTAATCTATTGTAATAAATATTATACAATTTCAACATACATTATATTAAACACGATATTGAAAAAGTGATCTACATTTATAAATATTGAAAGTGGTAATATATTAAATATATTAAACTTAAAGCCTTCATATAATAAATTTATATGAAAATATGGCAATAAAATTAGAAAATTTTGTTCCTCAAATTCCAAATTTTAGATTTGCAACTTTGTCCCATATATATGCATTATTATTAAATATTTTCAATATGAAAATATTTTTAACATTAAATTAATGATCCAAAGAAGGAGAACTCATAATAATAAATTTTTATGCCAGTAATCTTATATTGGCAACAGTAGGTGTACAAGTTTTATGCATCAGCCAACTGTCTATGTCTAATAGTTAGAAAAATTAATGGATTTATATAAGAATCGCGAAAGAAAGATAATTATATTTGCATACAGATGTTACAAATTTTTAGTGTCCTTATTACCTAGAGTAAAGGCATCTGCTGCTAAAAAAGGAAAGTACAAATACGATTCTCAAATAAAGGCCTTATTTTCTTTTGTCTAACAAACTTCGATTATTCATTATATTTATACATATATTTATTATATTATTTTTTAATATATTATATACTCGTTATCTGTTGTGCTATGCCCCAATATTTATTTTGGAATAATTCCAATATATATTACAATCAATATACATTAAATTAGACTAAAATAATTAAAAGTCTATTCAACTTACGTAGCTACATAATATTATATATATATATATATATATATATATATATAATTGATTAAATATTTTTATGCATGTATATATATAATAATTCATATACTTGGTAAATTTAAAAGTTATATCTTCTAATTCATATTTTATAATTTACGATTTAAGATAATTTTTTCTACATATAAATATTATAAAGAATTGCAAATATATAAAATATAATTATAGCAATTAAATCAATAGGATAGATGCTTTCATATCTTCATAGTCTAAATTTCATTATACGGAGCATTATAAAGCATTATACGGAGCAAAGAAAGAGGAAAGAAGGGAATGGATTTTCTCGTACTTGTACACAAATGATGAGGTCAAGCGGATCAAAGAGTCCAGGCTGAAAGTGAGAGAGGAATAAGCCTCATAAAGTTACTCGCGATAAAATCGAGTATCCAAAGCTGAATTAAAATTGCCGGACGATATTGAAAAAGGATCGAGAGTAATTTCAGGAATGTGCAGTAAAGCTAGGTGAAAAAGATCGTACAAAACTCTAGGGCTAACTTAACTTAATATGCCATTGAGAATCCGTGAATTCAAGCGGAACAATTAATAGAACTTTTTCACAGGTGCACTATCACTCTCACGTGACCATCTACAATTACATGCAAGGCTCAAAATATTTTACAACACTAACACTTTATAATCACCTGCAGTAATGATTGGTTCTTTGATAAAGGCGTCAATAGCCTGGCATATACTTTATATCCGACCTGTATGTCTAAACAACACATTTAATACTCTATTGTTATTATTATATATAACCAGATATTAAAGAGAGGATAAAAAAAAACTTGTAGCCATGCAAAAATTTTTGTATGTAACTTAAATCGAATTTAAACTCGCGATCAAAAGCATTTTAATAATTTTTATTATAGTATAATAATAATACGTATTGTCTGTAAATTAAAGATAAAATGTTTAGTATTCAATTATAATATACCGAATTTCAGTGTAAATTAATGTCATTTGAGAATTATACCACTGTCCGTTCATCTATGAAAAAAGTTTCATATGTAAGTAGAAGTATATACATCTTTTCAATCAAGGATATTAATTAAACTTTGGAAAATGTAGTAGAATACTAGAAGATGAAGTTTAATAACTACGCGAAGATATACGTAATGCGCCGTAATTTCAAGGGTGCACGATACTTTAGTTAAATGTGTGAAAAAATGCATCGTATAATTCTTTTAACTTAAGTATTAGTTCGAAATTATAAAATTTAATTTAAAACAAAATTATATAAATTTTGCGATGAATTTATTTATGATTTATAATTAGCCAAATCAATATGATCCTTAGTGTTACATTGAAATGTATATTATTTTCTAATTTTCTTATTTTATTTGTTTTATTTTATTAGCTTACTTAGAACGTTTAGATTATAAAATTATATATGTCGCATATTTCAAACGAAAAAGTTATTGCAATGTTTTAATTACTATTTTAAATATTTAATTTCTATCTTATTTGTGTAAAAAAAAAATATAGACAAATATTGTTGAATAATATTTATATCTCAAAAAGTAAAATTTTATAAACATATTAGAAAATATCAATTTTCACTTTCTCATTCTGATATTATATAGTCCTACTCGATATTTTATCAAAATATTATCTATACAATATTGCAGGATTAAAATTCATGTCTGTACTTTATATATCATATGAATAAATAATAATATTTTCTATTAAGCATTATTGCATTCGTATTTTAAAATGTGTAATATTGAAATGTTTTAAAAAATACTATTCTAATCTAAAAAACGGTATTGAAATTTATGACTTAAATTTGTTTATGGAAGAATATTAAAATGTAGTTGTTCATGGTGAAATATAAATATAATATA